GGTGATTAATGTCTCCTTAGGAGTGAGAATGATTCCATGCCTCCTGAAAGAGAAGGCAGTGAAACCACTTCTGAAAAGGTCCTCCCTTGACCCAGAAGATCTTAATAAATTTGGGCTGGCTGCAAACAACTGTTTCCTGGGTAAGGTTATTGAGAGGATGGTTGCCAATCAACTCTAGGAACTCTTGAATGAGAGTGATTACCTGAATCCATTTTTGTTGGGGTTCAGGCCAGGTTTTAGTAGCCCTGTATCATGAGCTATGCTGAGAAAGAGACAGGAGGAGTGTGACCATTTAATTCTCTTGGACCTCTCAAAGTCTTTTGATGCCATTGCCCATGGTATCCTTCCAAGGTGACTGTCTTAACTGGAATTTGGGGGCACTGAGTTGCTGCAGTTCAGCCCCTACTTAAAGGACCATCTCCAGGATGCTTGAGGAACCCTGCTCAGACCCATGAATTCTCCGGCGTGGAGTCCCTCAGGGGTCTGTTCTGTCCCCCATGCTCATTAACATCTACATGAAACCCCTGCGTAGGGCCACCCGGAGTTTTGGAGTGCACTGCCATCAGTATGCTGATGACACACAGCTCTATTTCTCCTTTACGTCTTCAACAGATGAGCCTGTGGATGTGCTAAACCAGTGCCTGGCTGCAGCAATGAACTGGATGAGGGCCAACAAACTGAAGCTCAGTCCAGACAAGACCGAGATGCTGCTCCTGGGTGGGACCCTTGTTCAGATGGTGGGTGTTCAACCTGTTCTAGATGGGGTCGCACTCCCCCTGAAGGAGCAGGTTCAGAGCTTTGGGGTGCTCCTTGATCCAACTTTGTCACTTGAGGTTCGGGTGGCCTCAGTGGCTCAGAGTACCTCCTGTCAGCTTTGGCTGGTGGCCCAGCTATGCCACTATCTAGGCAGTGATAGCCTAGTTTCAGTAATATACTCTCTGGTAATCTCTAAATTAGATTACTGCTTTGCACTCTGTATGGGGCTGCCCTTGAAGATGGTTCAGAAGCTGCAGCTCATGCAACCAGATTAACAACTAGGGCCTGGAGGTCCAAACATATAAGACCAGTTCTGGCCCACCTGCACTGGCTGCCTGTGTGCTTCTGGGCTTGCTAGTTTTAACCTATAAAACTGTACACAGGTTTAGACTGCATAATTACTATAATCTGAAAATAAATATAGTGTATCTCAACATAGTATAGAGGACTGTAACCAGGTGACCTGTGGTTCTGCTCATTCAGTCTGCTGTCTAGGTGTGAACTCTTGAGGGATGACATTTAATGGTTCTTTATCTTTAAACCGGAATTGGACAGGTAAGCCCTTTTTATACAAGACAGTCCCCTGTAAAGAGGACACAAAGCCATCTTAATATGGAGTAGCATAGTAAGTTGCATCTCAGCCCAATATTTTTTTTAAAAAATCCTGGTTCCTAAGACTAGAGCCTGACAAGAAGAGTGTTCTTAACCATGTGTAAAATGCCCATCATTCACCATTGATTAGCCCTGATACCCATTCATTGGTGGTTAGAGGGATAAAGAATTATATTCAGGTAGACCTGAGCCCCAACCAAAGCACCAGTTATAGGGAAAATATTTGTCTGAGCAAGTCCATAGCTGTGACTCCAGTGGAGTTTTGAGTACGTTGCTACAATCAAGGAACAAGACAATTGTCAATATCACAATATCACAAAATAATATTTTGTTTTTATTGACCCCTTTGGCGTCACAATACTTTATAACTCTCTCTATGCTTCTGTTATTCAGAATAAGGAGAAGCAGCAGCCAATGCCAAGGCCACCAACTGAGTTATCTGGGCAGGATGTTGTGAGGATGGAATAACGTCTAAATCCAAGAGAATGCAGCAAGTGTTAGTTTGCTTCTTGGCTAAGCTAGTTAGCAAGCAGACTTTGGGTCAGCCACATAGTGAAATCATGCATGAGAACTCTCGATCGGAGCTGCGCAGTACAATGACCCACCAAGGCCTGAGCTGCACCCACTTGAGATTCTCAGCAATCCTGTTACAGACTGCTTTTTCTGACTGGGCCTTCTTCCATGAGAAAGACATTCCCGTATTTCTAAAGAACACATTACTGATTATCTCCACCTTCATCTGCAGCCATAACTGAGGTTACTCTTCACTTGTCCCTGTTCTATTGGATCCTAGCCAGGAGAAACTTGCCCAATTTCAAACAAATAGTTCACAGAGTACAACCTTGCTCCTTTGTAACTTGCAGCACCAGTCAGATGGCTGGGATGTCTGTCTCTATATCCTAACTCCAGGTCAGGGTCACATGTCAGTCTTGAGGCCAAAGGGAAGCTGCACTTCTTGTCTAGATGAAAATGCAGACAAACAACACTGCCAAAACTGCCTTGTGGATATTGTCCTCATATTTATTTATTTTTTTCAGCCCTAGCAGGAATTTCTGACAACAAAAAAGGGAACAGAAACCAAGCATGGCCGTGACTTCATCAGCGATAAAAAAATCTGTGGAACTGTCAGTGCATCATGGAACACGGCATGTGACATTTAGTATGAAATCTGAAACCCTAAAATCTCAAAGTACCTGTTTTAACATAAAGTTTCTAGTTCTCTTGGGAATCCCTAAAACTGTATCGCTAGCTTCCGCAACTGTAGAAAACAGATGGTGGGCCTAGGGCTCCTTAGCTGACAGAGCTTGCAGTTCTTTCCAGTGAGCAAGTGCACAGACCTATGCACACTCAGATGGAAAAAGTTGTACAACTCCCAGTGTTCCCCAGCTAGCCACATAGGACCTTTTTCTGTCTACTCATGCATAGGATGGTGCTCTTAGACTTTAAACTTATGCATAATTATTTGGAAGAAATTCACAATGAATGAAGCAGGACTAAATTAAGATGTATTAGATTGACTCTTATGGTCCTTGTATTTACAGACCAAGTTCATAAATTATAGCCATCTTTCTTTCCCAGACCCCAAATGCAAAAGGTACAAACTAATAATCTATAAATTAGATCTTTAACTACAGAATCTGTAAAATTAATTTTATAGAAATACTATTATTGGAACATTTCATTCCTATCACAGGAGTTTGGTTTTGTGATTGCAGAAGTTCGTCATATGTAGGACAGGATTCCAGGAATATTCTCTGGGAGAATAATTTATGAAGAAGAAAGTACAGTAAAGGACACCTTTACTGCTTTGTCTTAGAACTCATAAGACCATTTATCTCTGGTGTTATGAGATTATAGAAATAGTGGATTTGACTTGCAGGGACTATTGTCTTCTCTGCTTGCTAGAAAAAATTGCTTTCAATATTTGCACATTAGCTGCATGTTTTGGCCATAATACTGAGGGGGGAAAACAAAGAAGTAGCAAGAGTCACCACTGTTAGTCTCATCGTGGCTCAGTATGTGGTGTCTCAATAGCATTTACCAGCATCCCCAGATTTAATCACAGAACATGCTCTGTTTCCATGTGTACCAAAGTGAAGCAGGAGCTAAAGCCTAAAATGTTTTGAACATGCCAAGGTTTGACATTTGATCCCTGGCCCAAGACACAGCAAGAAAAGGATGGAATCATTACACACAGGGAGAATTAGCATGTATTGCTGCTAGAAGAATAACATGATTGGGATAAGCAGGTTCTCATCTGAAATGCACTTTGAATTATTTTTGTCTTACATTTTCCCACTTGCTGTTTTTATGCACTTTAACCCAAGACTCCAACAGGAAGGCCATGTGTATAGTTCAGAGTGGTAAGAAACTTTTCTTCTTTGCAAGTAATTAAAAAAACAAAAAGAAAAAACTAAAAAGGGCATTCCCAACAACTAATGCAAGTGGACACTCAGATAGTAATGTACATTGGTGTGCTGTCACTTTAACTGTTTGATCGGCTGCCTTTGGAGTCCCATCAATTCTGGCAGAGGTGGGACTAGCTCTGGATTAGTTGTAGAAAAGCATGTATGAGTGGCTGATTAACTGTTTGCTTTCCAGCAAGAGAAAAAAGAAATATAAAGAAAGCATCTGAAAGTGAATGTCTCATCAGGCAAAAGAGAGGACAAAGGTGCATGCAAGAGATGGGGAGGCAGTGAGTTAGTATAAGTACATCAAATGCAGAACAGACCCCTGATGGGCCCCTGGTCCATAAGGAAGAAGTGACCATTTGCAATTCTGCTCCATGGATTAGTATGCAATTTCTTTTGTGGATGCATGTAAATCTGGTCCTTGCCCCACTTAGCTTTTCTCAAGAAGAGGTGAATTTACTCTAGAAGAAATGCAATGGACCTGACTCCTCAAGGAAGCATCCTCTTCTTCCTAATGTAAAATTCAACTCCCATATATAATGAATGCACAGAGAAATGGCTGATTCTGTTTGGGAGAGGCTATGGAGCATAAAGGTCAGGTGTACTTCATCCAGTGTAAACTCCTACACTGAACTATACATGAAGGAAACAGAAATCAGGATGGGAATCCCAAGATGCACAAAGCACCGACAGACTTACTTAAAAGTCCAGGAAGCCAAATGTCATCCCTGAACCTGCAGTATTGGAAGTAAATGGATGGTTTGCTACAGTTCAAAAATCTTAGTCCTGCCCTACAGTGCATATACAGGAACTTGGCTTCATTATATATTGTCGTGACTTGCTCAAGATTTTAGGATTCATTTTTCTGTATTGCTACTGCTGCTTTCTCTCTCTCTCCCCATTCATTCCATCTCATACTCAAAGAAACAAAGCGTCAGCCAAAAGCCTCTCCAAATACACCCTGGAAATCTGACCCCCAAACCAGACAGAGGCAGACATCACTCCCCCTCCCCTTGCTTTAAGCAAATTCTGTTGAAATGGAACAATGCAGGCATGAAAACACACCTCTGTTGAAACACCAGCCTGCTCCCTTGGGCATCCTCAGAGAAAAGCAACCTGCTCCCCCCTTCCTGCCTGCCTCACATTCTTTATATTCAGGAATTTGCATGAAATCAGATTGCCGGGCCATCTATCCCCATCCAAACTGAGTGAAGCCTTTACCTTTTGTGAGCTGAAGGACTGAGTCCAGTGATATAATACCAGCCTGTCCTTGGATCTGAAAGCTGGGTGTGCTGGATCCTGGTTCTCCTCAGCCTCTGAGGATTTGCCCGCATCGTTCTCCATGGCTGAAATGGGCCACCAGCTGCAGTTGGTGGGAGTAACATTGTTGGGAGTCGCCATGACAGCCGGAGATTATGGAAGAACAGGAGGAAAGGGAGAGCCGCAGCTGCTGTACTGTTGGAGCATCACATGAGGCTCATGGAAACAGCATCATTACCGGAGCCAAGGGGGTTGAATTTCATTACTCACGCTGGATTGGCAAGGGGAGCCCACGGCAGGAGGATCAAAAGCAGCATCTGGTCTGAGAAGCAAAGGAAGGGTGTTGCTGTGCGTGTGTGTGTGCGTGCGTGTGTGTGTGAATCACAGCCCCTTTACAACCAGGGCAAGGTTGCCACTGTGAGGCACGCTGCTGCACTGCTCATGCGTTGCTCCAATCAGACACAACAGACAGTCGCTGCCACCTGACGACAAATCTGGGAGTCCACATGCAACCGGAGAGCCTGTATCTTAACAGCAATACTGTGCAGGGGCCTCTGCCCAGCCGGGTGCCCACCAGAAGTCTTAGGTGACAGTTCCCAACATTTCTGACCTGCAGCTGTGCTGGCCGGAGTCCAACACATCTAAAGGGTGCCAGGTTGTGGAAGGTTGCAGTGCAGCCTCCCCGGACAACTAGTACGAAGGGCGACATGCATGAAAATGTCCAGATAATCAGGTATCCAAACAACCAGGGCCCGTGAAGACCCTTCTGTGCAGTCAGATCTAGAATTTTGATGCTGTGCTGTTTCTCACCCCAGAAGACTGGTTATGTGCAGACTGTGGATACCTCCTTCTTGAGTTGGTATGTCTCGCTGTCTTGCTAAGTTCGGGCTTTCTGAATGTGGCATTTTTCAATTTCAGATTTTAAAATTTGATAAAGGGAGATTTTGGCTTAAGAAGTATGAAGGAAGTACGCATGATGGAGTCATTTGCCCAAGTTCAGATAACATGACAACCTGCTGTGGGTTCAACAATCCTGATAACAAGCCATGGGTTGTGATGGGTGTCAAGCCACCCTGTGGGAAAGTGTCTAGGTTTGCAGAACAACCTATCATGGTTTGTCATTCACAATTGGGTGTTATGCTATTGCAGTCACTGGAAGTAAAAACTGGGCTTTTTGGGGGGGGGGCAGTGTATTTTGGCTTCACCTCTTTTGCCTTTGGCTGTGCTTCTTTACCTGAGGCCCCACCCATCATTGGAATGTGGCTGCTAAGGGCATCTCCAGGCATGAATTCAGCCCTTGGACACAGCTGATTTAAGCAACTTTTAATTTTTGTTTAGCCAAATCTTCAGGGACATTTATCTGCAATTCTAGTGCAGTTTAAAACTCTGCAAGCTTAAATAACAGATCTCTTATTTCATTTTAACTTGAGGCCAAAAAGAAACAGAGGCAGCACTTGGTAAGACTTCCCGCCTTGACTTCTGTAACACGCTTTACGTGGGGCTACCCTTGAAGACAGTCCAGATACTTCAATTGGTTCAAAATAGAGCTGCCAGGCTGCTGACGGGGACGGGGCGTTATGTTCACATGACTCCAGTCCTCCGTCAGCTTCACTGGCTTCCCATTGAAGTCCGGGCCCAATTCAAGGTGTTGGTGATGACCTATAAAGCCCTAAACGGCTTGGGTCCTGGTTACCTGAAGGAGCGCTTACATCCATATATGCCCGGCTGCCCCTTGAGATCTGCGGGAGAGGCCCTTCTCCGGGAACCCTCCGTGAAAGAAATTAGGAGGGTAGGTACTCGGAGGAGGGCTTTCTCTGTGGTGGCGCCCAATCTATGGAATGCGCTCCCCAGAGAGGTCCGCCTGGCGCCATCGTTATTTGTTTTTCGGTGCCAGGCGAAGACCTTTTTATTTAAGCGTCATTTTAATTGTTAACAATATTTGCTTATTTATCTGGCCAGGGCGGCTTCTTTTATATTGTTATTTATTTTATATTGTTATTTTTGTATTTTATTGTATTTTATTTTGTGTTGTGAGCCGCCCCGAGGCTTCGGCAAGGGGCGGCATAGAAATGTTTTAATAAATAAATAAATAAATAAATAAATAAATAAATAAATAAATAAGAAAGAAAGAAAGAAAGAAAGAAAGAAAGAAAGAAAGAAAGAAAGAAAGAAAGAAAGACTGACTGACTCTCTGGGCAGATAATTCCAAAGGAATGGGGCCACAGCTGGAAAGTCCCTGCTTCTGGTTACCATCTTTCTTACTCCATATAGTGTGGAAAATCACAACCTGGCTTCAGAGGCTGCTCTTACTGTCTAGGCCAGTTCATATAGGAAAAAGTGATCCAAAAGTGAATTGGGCATGTTTAGCCTTGAGAAGACTGAGGAGAGATATGATAACACTCTTCAAGTACTTGAAAGATTGTCACAAACAGGACAGCCAGGATCATTTCTCAGTTATCTCAGAGAACAGGAAACAGAATAATGGGCTCAAGTTAGGGAAAATCAGATTCTTTCTGAATATCAGGGAAAACCTTCTGTTAGAGAAGTACAGGAATGGAGTCAATTACTTAGGAAAGTTGTGGGCTGTCCCACACTAGAGGCATTCAGATTCAAGACAAAAATCTGAGAGGGATGGTTCGACTTGGACTCATCCACTGGGCAGGGGGTTGGACCAGATGGCCTTCTTGCTCACTTTCAACTCTACTATTCTAGGAGTCTATGATTTTGGTACCCTGGTCCCAAGTAAGTTATTGTTTTTAAGTGCATATTGTTACCAACTGTTCAGGAGATAAATGACCCTGGTTTGGTCTGGGACTACTTGTGGTGAGTGTATGTACTTTTTAGCCATTTGTCAGGAAAACAAAAAGGCTCCCTCTGCTCCTATATATTTATCCTGAGCTCACAGGCATACTTGTAGCTTTGTGAAAATGAAATGGTTTGCTTATTTGTCTGTGGAACAAGGCCAGTCCTAAGACAAATAGCATCAGAATGAGGAACACCCTCACTCTTTTCCCCTCCCATTGCAGTATGTTTCATACCAAACTGTGTGGCTTAACCAGGATAGCAAAGCCTAGCAGGGTAACAGACCCAGCGTGACCCAGGAAAAGAGTGCAGAGCTCTATCACTATAACTCACTGCTTCAGTGCCAAGGCATGTTCCTCCCATTCTAGGATTCCACAGACATATTTCATGCAATAGACTTCTGTAAAGAGTACACTCAACCAGCACTGAGCCCAGCTATGCACCCAGGGTGAATGCCAAGCTAGCCCTGGCTGAAAGCCAGCCTTAGCAGAAGGGTGGGATAAATAAGCAAACAGTAATCTATTGGCAAAGAAGCAACCAGACAGTAGAACTGCACTGCACCCACTCCAATTCACAGCCTTCTTCAGTTAACACCAAGAAGAAAGCTCTAGATAGATTAAAAAAAAAAAACCCCACCCAGCTTTACTCTTCACAGCTATAGATCCTAGTTCTGTGCCACCCTTGCCTATGTCAGTTGCATCTTCTTACATTACAGATGGTTGGATGCTGTTGTCTGCCCTAGAGAAAGTTAAGGGGCCAGACATGTGATCCAAAACTTGGACACCTGGAGAGACAGCAAGACGTGCAGAAGTATCTGGAACAGCAGCAGTCAATTATTCTAGGCTAGGGGTGGATCTCTTGCTGGTGTACACCAATTCCTATTAGCCCCAGCCAGTACAGTCAATGATGTTCCTGCTCTAGGAAATGTTTAGAAGCCCAAGGTTCCTGATGCAGGATTCTTTATAATAATATGCAATGAAATGGGCAATCAGGAGTAAGCCACTCCTGATGTAATTATGCGTCAATCCTGATTGATTGATTGAACTTACAGGCTGCTTCAATAGACATCTCTCTTGTTTCATTAGAACTGATAATATTTACCTGAACATCCCTGCACCTTGATGCATACATCAAGGATATGTGGAAGACTGTGCTTAGTAGCTTTATGGGATATAGGGAATGCCATAGAAAGTAACTGCTTGGCAGAACTACACACATCTTTCTAGCTTTTTTGTCTGGCTTTAGCAGTAGGGGGCAGGGGCAGGGGTGGGAGAGGCTCTGTGCCTTTAATAGCAAAGTACAACCAGAAATTTAGAAGACTGAACTTTTCCAGATATGGACATGTAGTAACTTCTTGTTCTGGTTTTCTATATACAAGTTGCTGATATGGGCATGGGAAAACAGCCAGTAAAACAACAACAAAGACACATCAGTGATGTTACTTCAAATGGCTGATTGGCCACTTTGGATTCGTGCCAGACATAGAATTGACTCATTGAAATCAATGGTACTCAAGTAATCTGTGGCTAGTTTTAATTCCCATTGATTTCAGTGGGTTTATTCTGAGTATAATTAAATCAGAATCTTACCAGCTGGCATGGATATTCATGGGGTTGGGGTGGAAGTGGGGGAGAGGATGTTTGCATGGGACCAGATTCTTCATGTGGCTGAGATGCAGAAGAACTCTGCACCAATGAAGATTTTGTGCATCGTCTGTATGTATCCAGTGAGGTCCACGGGATGCACTGTGCCCAGAGAGATGTGTGTTCATACTCCAGGAGCAAATATGTGTCAGTGTGTAACCTTAGGCCCTGCCACTCTCATTTAGCATGACAAACTTTTTGTCAAGGCTCTTGCCTTAAAGGATGCTACCCAGAGTTCTTTGAAAGAAAAACAGGGTACCAATGTGGGAAAAGGGCACAAAATCATACACATTTAGGCACAAATGGCCTATAACACCCAGCATATCCCAGTCACCATGCCAGACTTGGCAGGTGAGTGTGTGTGTGCATGTTTGAAGTTCCAGTCTGTATTCATTAATTTCATTTCCATAGTGCCCCATAACTGAATCTCTCTGGGTGGTTTACAACAATGCATCAAAACAAAACAATAATACAAATATACAAATATCGTAAAATCAAAGCAGCATTAAGTGTACTTAAAACAACCAAAACATACAGCAAAAAGGTATGCAAAAAGAAAAACACCTGGGATGGGTAGTTCCATCCAGCCCTAGGTAGTTAGGTAAATATTCAAAGGCCTTGGCATATGAGAGCATCTTAACTTGGCACTAAAAAGATGACAAGCTTGGTGCCAAGCAGACTACAGTAAGGTTCTTCCATAGATCACGAAAAGTCCTCTCCCTTGTTGCCAATCTCTAAGCCTCCCTTGGCGGTGGCATTAGAGGAAGGCCTCAGAGGTCATGCATTGTATCTGAGTAGATCATGGCTGGAAGAAGAGCTTAGATGGGTTTTGCAGTCCCAGGCCATGGAAGACCATATAGGTCTTGAATTGGGCCTGGAATCATGCGGGCATCCAGTTCAAGTGGGCCACAACTAGTCTTATGTATCCAGTCCTATGGGGCCCAGTTACTGATCTTGCTGCACAGACTGCACCTTCTGAACCATCTTCATGGGCAGCTCCACATTAGGAGCATTGCAGTAATCTAATTTAGAGTTTACCAGAGCATGGACTACTGGGATCAGATTATTTCTGTTCAGGCAGGGGCATAGCTGGCCAGAAGACATTTCAAGCCACTGAGGCCACCTGAACTTCAAGTGACAAAGATGGATCAAGGAGAAACCCCAAGCTTTGAAGCTGCTCCTTCAAGGGCAGTGCAGCCCCACCTGGAACAGGTTGAACACCCTCCATTCAGTCTAAGGAACCAGCCAGCGACAGCATTTCTGTTTTGTCTCGACTGTGCTTCAGCTTGTTAGCTCTCATCCAGTCCACCATTAAAGCTGGGCACTGGTTTAGTAAATCCACAATTACTATCGTTACATTTCATTACATTGATATCTCATCCTTTTTCTTCCTGTGAAGTACACAAGGCAGTGTATATGGCCCTGTTTTATCCTCACAACAACCCTGTGAGGTAGGTTAGGTCAGGACCCAATGCCTGACCCAAAGTCACCCCATTGAGCTTCATGGCTGAGTGGGGGCTCTAACCTGGATCTCCCATGTACCCATTCCAGCACTCTCACAATCATACCAGACTGGCTTTCAGAATTTTTTTCTGTATAAAATGCACAGGATTGCACTCTTACAAACGGAAGTTATCCCTCCCAAATAAGTTTGTTTGTCTGTCTGTCTTAAGGACTGGGCTAGATGAAGATCATTGTGCAAACACTCTTAACAGATACCTCTGCAAACTTTGCTTAATTTTGGGGTGTGAAAAAGTGCTGTATCTGCAGCTGCCAATCATAGAAAATTGTTGCATAAACACAGAAATAATATTTACAACATTTATTTGGAATTTAGCTTTGACAGATCAGTTTCAAAAATAGGAATTTTAATCCCAGCTTTAAAATGTTGACACCCACATTCCCAGAGCTTTTCTTGTGCCTTATAATCCCAAATACTCTAATTCTTGCATTCGACTAGAAAATGCATATGGACAGTAGCATTCACATTTTCAATTCCAGTATCTCTCCCATCCCTGCTAGACACACACACACACCCTCTTTTCAAAAGTCATGGGGTTCTCATTCTATAAACAGTCATGTCTATTAAGCAAACAAAAACATCCTGCTTTCTTTGCCCATTATTTGATTTTGATTTGATTTTGCCCACATAAGGATTGGGATCAGTTATTACCTGTAAAGTTACTTCTATGAATTGGTCTGCTGAAATCACTCACTCAAAACAATGGTGATTATATAGTGCAGCTTTGGATGTAGCACACTAGAGAAAAAACAGCAAGCTAGGTTCTCAAAAACTTTCCCCAAAGCTCCCCCTAGTGGTCTTTTAACCCCCCCCCCCCCCCGAAAGAGAGTGAGCGCAACTGCTTGTATAAAAGTGCAGTTTTTAAAAACTGATCTATTGGCACAGGACTGCTGCAGATATCCTTGACTTCGTCTTTTAGGTAGCTATTAAGCCAGGACTGAGAAGAATAATTTGTTTAACTAATATAGGGGAAATTAGCCTTGCTGCATTCTATTCTAAACTTTTACAGTGACTTTTCTTGTTTGTCTTGTACCTTAAAAAGATACTTCAGAAACTCCATTCAAGTTTTGGCAGGTATTTTTTACTCAAACAATGACAAGCCTTAATCTCCAGAGAAATAGGAATGATGGGGCATACAGTGCCTTGTAGAAAATTCCCTGCCCTTGAAATTTCCAAATTTTGCTGTCTTACAAACTGGAACTGAAATGGATTTAATTGACATACTACTTGATTTACACATGATACTCAACATTGTGAAGGTGCAAAGTATTTGCACAAAAATCAACAAACTTGCACTTGTTGGTTGCATAAGTGTTCATTGAAACACCTTTTGCAGCAGTTACAGTGGTGAATCTTCTTAAGTCTGTTAGCTTTGACATCTGCGTTCTGCATGTTAGCCCATTATTTCTGGCAAAATCGCTACAATACTGTCAGGATGGACAGGGACCATTGGCAAACAGCAGCTTTCAAGCTTTGCCCTAGATTCTCAACCAAACTGAGATCTGAGCTTTGATTGGGTCATTCCAGATCTTGTCTGTAAACTGCTCCGGTGTTACACTTTGGCTGTGTGTTTAGCAACCTTGTCCTGCTGGAAGGTGAATCTCTGCCCCAATCCTTGGTCCCTTGCAGACTGAGCGTGTTCTTTTAGAATTGCCCTGTATTTGACTTCATTCAACTTGCCCCCCCAAAATTAGCAGTTTCCCAGTCGCCGTAAAGGGAAAACATGTTCACTATATGCTTCCACTGCCATGCTTCACCACGGGGATGGTGCTTTCAGGGCAACAAGCACTGTTGTCTTTGTACCATGCATAGGTTTCTGCAATAAGTTTAATTTTGACCTCATCAGTCCCAAGAACATTTTTATGCATGCCTTCTGTGTCACCCAAATGGCTTTTTGCCACTTCTAATTGAGCTTGGATATGAGTTTGTTCCAGCAATGGCTTTTTCTTATCCTTCTTCTGTAAAACCAGCTTTATGGAACTTTGGATGATAGTTGTACTGTGGATTGTTTCCGCCATCTCAGCTGCAGATTCAGCTTCAGTTACCATTGGCCTCTTGATTCCTTTTCTGACAAAGACCTTGTCAGAAGTGCCTTCCTAACTCTAGTCACTGAGTTTTGGTGGACGGCTTTCTCTAAGCAAACTTGTGCTTGAACATTATTCTTTCCATTTTGTAGTGATGGTGCTCTGGGGAATACTCATAGTTTGGAATATTTTTAGCTCAGCCCTGACTAGTTCTTCTAAACTTTATTCCGAAATTGTTTTGATAGCTCATTGGTTTTTATCATGCTCTTTGTTTGGATTTGCACTCCAACAATTGGGACATTCCAGAAACAGGTGTATTTTATCTGAGCGACAGAATTGCTCATGGGTGGGTACCATTCAACTACAAAGTGTGACTTCAGCAGGTAGCATGTTGCACCAGATCTCATTCAGGCATACGTAGCATAGCACAGGGCCTGAATACTCATGTAAATAATAGTCAACACCATGAAGCTGCAAAATCTCTTGTATACATCCAGTGGTAACAATGCCAATTGAATCAATTTCAATTCAAGATTGTTAACAGGAAAAAAAGTGAAAAGTCAAACTGAATGAACTTTTCTGTAAAACACTGTATATTTTCATTTTATTGTGCCTAGAATCAGACCCTCTTAAAGTGATCTGGAATACCATGATTTCAACATCGTATTTGCTCTCAAAGCAATGATTCAGCGAGTACATAGTTTTGGGATTTATATGTACATTGTAGGGGATACTAGTCATATCTGGGGACAATTTTTACCCCAGGAGTCTGCAATCAAAATAAGAATGGCTTCAACTATTAGCAAGTACAGGTAATTTAATCCTTCCTGAAGCTGTGCAAAATAAGAATATCTACAGTGCTAGACCCATTTTTCCCCTCAACATTACATTTAGAGCAGGCACTTCGTGACACTGTCCTAAAGAACAAATTGGTAGGACTACTCATGTGTACAGAATGTGAGCTGGGCATTCCAGTTACTCCACTTTGTGGGATGAGCTAATCAAATCCTTCACAAAATTTAAGTCTGCACCCATTTTTGAGGTGCAAGAATACAACACCAACATCTAAGGGATGGTACACTGATGTATCACTTATTGACTAGAGCTTGAAACAGTACACATGTAAATGAACCAGCAGAGATAAAGCTTTCATACCACTCACAACCATCACAATGCTCCAAAATGGAACCAATCAATACACTAGGCTACAAGACAGCAAGGGTGCAATCCACAGGGAATTTTTCCTGCCCAATTTCAATGAAAATGCAGTGACTGCCCCTGCTTTTCAGCAGTTTCCACTTCTTTCAATGGGATGCACATGCTAGTTTTCTGGGGAATTGTGTACAAAATATTGCAAAATCAAGTGATCTACATGCATGTCAACCATGAACACCAAACTTGTAGTACAGGGTGCGGCAAAAATACCTCCCACATTTTAAACTTTCACCTATGTGTTGCTAATGAACTTATGCAAGTGCCAATGATGTCTTCATTTAGCTAATGACTTCCCTTTTTTTCATATACCCACATCTAGCAATATGGTTTGGACTGGTGCACAGCGTGCTTTTGCTGTAGAAACGTTTTTGAAGAATGGTGAATCTGTAATTGCAACACAGAGAACTTTTTGAACTCATTACATGTTAGGTCGGAATGCTGTATTGGATAGAAAAACAATACTGCTATGGGTTGCAAATTTCAGAGCCACAGGTTCAGCACTTAAAAGAAAGCCACCTGGAAGACCTCGAAGCGCTCGAACTCCAGAAAGTGTTCAAGCTGTGAGACTTTCTGTTACTCAGTCTCCTACACGTTCAACTCGTAAACATGCTTCTGCCTTGGGATTGTCTGACCCTATTTTTTTGAGGAGAGAAACCACTCGGTTACAGTAACATCTGACCGGTACGTGGAGATGCTGCAGAAATTTCTGGAACCAAAAGTAAATGACCTTCGCAATCAGGATGTGTGGTTTCAGCAAGATGGAGCCACTGCGCACACAGCAAGATCATCAATGGAAGCTCTGAGGGAAATGTTTCCAAGACGTTTGATTTCCTTACGCGGTGACATTGAATGGCCTGCACACTCGCCCGATCTCAACCCGTGATTTTTTTCTCTGGCGTTACTTGAAAACAGAGGTCAACAAACATCGACCAGGTATCATTGAAGAATTAAAGGATGCTATTCGTCAAAAGATTGCAGAAATACCACCTGGAATGACTCTTCGAGTAATGGAAAACTTCAAAAATCGTCTATAACAGTGTATAGTGAATAGAGGCCACCATTTGGAGGATGTAATTTTTAAAACCAATTTTAAAACCAAATGAATAAAAACTGTAACCCTTTGTTTAAACAATAGTGAAATTGATTTTTAATAAATGTTGTTTCATTTTCCTTTTTTTAACCTTTAAAATGTGGGAGGTATTTCTGTCACACCCTGTATTTCCTTACTAGTTCACTTTTGTGCTACTTGGGTGACAAGTTCCTACACAAATTATTGCTTTTCATTTTTCCATTAGCATCTTTCCTTAGTTCAAAGGAACAATAGGAGGCTGTTCCACATTTTTCATTCAAATTGGATTCTTCAAATGCCTACAAAAAGATAACGGGTTTCTTTGAAGGCCAGGGTTAACATCCTATAGCCACAAAGGGTGTTCTGACCCTGCCTTCTGCCAAATTCTTCTCACCAGTATACTCTACTCCTTCCCCCAGAAATCTTTATGCAGATCTGCAGGAAATGAAGGATTTGTACCAGGATCACTGATGTGTGCATGTACATAGGTGTGTGTTTTTAGATGTGATATACACGTGAGGCCTACAACCCCATGTCAGCATCACATACAATCCTCAGAGCCAGAAAGCTTGTATACCCCAGCCCTAGACTGAGAATAATTCTCTGCCCTGCAGCTACTTGCTCTTCTATATGAAAGCACACAGTTGGTTGTAGATGCTCATTCTATGTAGGTTATCCAGTGGGACACCTGGCTGCTAAACTGTACTACTTCAGAAACAAACTTCCAAATCAATAGCAAGAACACAAACTTTAATTAACAATAGCATCAATCCTCCACCTAAAAAAAGAAGTTACCAAAGAGATATGAATTATAGCCACAGCTCTCCCTTTGGCCTAATTTTAAGCTTGTGCAACACATTTAACCTGAATTCCTTATTTTCTAAATTAAGAGTGTTAACTCTGCTACTTTTGAAGGTGCTTATAGAAGTGAAAATGGAGGCAGACCTCTCAAGCTGCAAATGGCTTACAAGACCACAATGGTAAAGAGGCTAAATTTGTGAAGCATGTGCAGCTGACCTTGTATAAAGTATCAGATAGTTTGGAAACATCCATCTACTTGGAAAATTATTAGAAGATTCTTAGGTGCTTGCTTACCCAAAAAGGTGTTTTAAGACAGCATCTACACCAGTTCTTTTGCTGTATTCAGGCTCCCTCGCAAGTTCAGTATAAGAATAATTTTAAATGAGCATAAAAGGCTCTGATAAGGAAGGCAGAGTGGATAAATGGCTGGAAGGAGGTACAGGACAAGATTTCAAATCAGTCAATACGAAGCTTCATTCCTCTATGAAGTAGAGGTATGCCATTCTTCTGCAAGAAAACTGAGGAATGGAACAGATAGTGACAGATTATGAAACTGTTCACCAAAAAAGCTTATGCCCAACTTGTCACTGAAATGCTGACCACAGCAAATTAAAAATTGGTATGAGGCAGGGTGGGTCCTCCCTAGACAAAAACTCCTAAGATATTAAAGGAGTTTCAGCCAAGTTATTGTGAGGGGGTTTGCACATCACTACTTATGCATATCATTTTTTAGTTTTCTGGTTCAAGATTGGATTCAAAGCATGTACCTCCCATAAAAACAGCTGTAAGGATGCATCACAACATCACTCATTAGAAGTGAGCTAACTAAAATATGATCAGCAATGTTAATGTAAATCAGCACAAGTGTTTGAGCCTTAATGATGTTCTAGTTCAGAAAGAATATTTAAAAAAAAATAGCTTTAAGAAACCTATTTAATGAAAACATTAGAATGGCCAGAGGAGAAGACGTTACCCAAGTATGTTTTTGAAATGTAGAAGGTAACGTAATGCATTTTTAAGACAGAGGGGTAGTGTCTCTTTTTTTCTTTATTTAAAAAACTACACTGTATGGAGCAAATAAACATTTGATCAAATACACAGCAATGACAACAGATACATTTCCAACTATGGCACTGAGGGAGTATCTCACTACCTGCACTGAATTTCCAAGTCATGATTCTCATGTCAAGTGTACATCATCTCTGCCATGTGGGACATTTTCTTGGGAATATATAAGTAATACTCCATGTACCCTGAAAGGTCTTCAATAGTCACATCATCCACAAACACTCGAGCTTGCTCAGAACAAGACCGGGCAGAGCCAGATGAACCTGTACCAGAAGGTGAGCGGTTTGGCAAAGATTGTGAACGCACTTCCAGGACTGCCTTTTCACATTCTGACAGGACACTTCGCAAACCAGAAAAGGAGTATGCGCCTATTGCTTGCCATGGTTTGCACCGACATTCTTTGTCCACACAAGAGCACTGCTTGCCATAACTCAGCTTGGAAAGTGAATGGAAATCTGAAGGTTGGTTAGGATCCAGGCTGGTTTGAAAGGTCAAAGAAAAAGCGTGGCAACTCCCTCCCAAATTCTCTGAAGGCTGCTCATTTGTGAAAGTGCTCTGTTCTTCTCCTCTGACTCTCCTGCAGCTGCTGCTTTCAAAGAGGGGGCACCTCTTTCCTCCTAAGTATGGCTCTTCTGTAACACCAGGGTCTGGACCGATTTTGTTCTTTGAAGCTTCTATTTGGCTTTTGTGTTTCAGCTGATTACTTGAAGATGATTTCATGCTGCAGTATGTAAACTTCGGAGGATGCAGGACTGGAGATTTGGAACGCCTGCGACGCTGTGGCCTTGTTGCCCCTCTCAGGGGTTTCCTTGTACATCTGTAATAGAGAGCCGCAAATATTAGCAGAAACTGATTCTTGAAAAAAATGTATTCCAAATTAGGAATAGTGTTGTCTGTCCTAAAATTATTTGCTCCACTTCTGTGGATGAAGCCATTGTACCTCATGGTTTATACTGATTTTCTTTTCCTGAGAAAGATCAGTATGCAGAACGGAGATTTTATGTGACACAACTGTAACTTAACTATAGGAAACTATTATAATTATCAGCCTTAAATGCAAGTTACACAAGCTACTGATGGTTTCCCACCAATCATTTATCAACTAAATCATTCTCATACAATACACTTGAGAAAGGCAGCAGCAAGAAGAGGATCGTGGTACATGCAAGCACTTACCAGGTTACCATTCTAGCCAATTACTGGTAACAAAAGAAGAGTTCAATTCAAGGAGAAGATCTTGAATGTGCAGTTGCTAATGATGTCTTACCCATGCCAAGTCTCTCTTGAACAGATAGTCTGATGCCTTCCACCATCACCAGCTGCTCGGACTTGAGCTCTCAGTCCCGTTCCTTCAGTCACAGCTTGAGATGATCTAAGAGGCAAATAACATATGAAAAAAGCTACAAAGGACCCAAAGGCAGATTTTCATGATATGGTGTACCTTATATTTATATGCTACGTGCTTAAAGCACCAAATATAATGAAATGATTCTCCCCACCACAACTCTATTGCTCATCTATAAACAAATGGGTGAGAAACATTATGTAGTCTTGTCTAACTGTCATGATGTAGTGAGTTGAAGGAAAAGCTCTGCCATTAAATAACTCTTTAGGTGACAAGTGTTCTAGTGTCACTAAAAAGACACTAAAAAGTCAAATACTGTACTCCAAGAAATTGCCATTGGTTCTTGTACAGGAAATTTTTGTCGTGCTCAGAAAGACTTCTTCTACTGTTGTTACTGATATTGCAAACAATTGATGATTATTAATATGGTGCCATCACCACAGAAATATAGGGTGAATTTACCTGGTTTCAAACAAATATTTGGAAACTGTCCAAAATGCTCTTCTAGTTTTTGATTACTACTTTCTATTGACAAAACATAAAAGCACTCAAGGGCTATACAATTTCTAAATTTATATGAAATACAAAGACTAATATTGCACGACCACAGAATATTCACACAAATAACCAACAAAAAGGAACAGAAATGGAAAAATTACTCTTTCCTCCTGATATTTTTACTGTCATGGAATATAAAGACACTAATATTCACTAAAGTGCACTAACTGATGCTGAAAACTACAGATTAAGGAAGCTGGGTTGCATGCCAATTCTAATCATATTATGAAAATGTGAGCGCCTGAAATCTACTCAACAGTTGGGTTTTTTGAGGATGGGATGGGGAAATAGAGGCATTTCTAAAAAAAAATCTTCCAAATGTTCTTGTATAGTTCAACATCCTCTTTTTTTACCCAATTTTGCCCCCGCCCCGAGCAAAAAAGCACCTGTTTTCTTAATGAGAAAAATGATAAATTGACATATAGCATCTCTTATACAACTGTTCAAATTACCAATAAGGGTATTGGGAGACACAATATCAATATATTCATTGTGAAGAACCATTAATAATCAGCAAATGCTTTTCTTCCCAGCTAGTTCCAAGCTACCAGAAAGGAGGCAATGTAATACTAGAAATACCAAGCACATAAGAGTAACTATGACACTGTCACCTACCCAGCTGGATCCACTCTCAGCTTTTTGAAAGCTGTTTGCAAGCTCTCTTCATCTCCTTCTTTAGCTTCTGATTCCATTTATATAATATTAGAGTATTACAGTGCCTGCCATATAGTGACTACTAATAAAAAAGAGAGATCAATTACATTAAGTTCATAGAGAGAACAAAAAGTACAATAAGACCACAGGAAATAAAACTCCACAATTGGAATTAAATATATTGTTTCATTTGCTATCATTGCTTACTATACATAAGTTGAACACATTTTAACTCATATTGATACTTCATATGAAAAGCCACCTTTTAGGAGCGAATTTCTGCTTTCTTAACAAAAGTGTCCCATGGTGAATTTCTATTGAATACTCATGTTATTCAGAGCACAATTTTTCTGCAGTATTTTGAAGCCTTTTACCATATTGGTTCATTTCCAGTCAACGGTAGTAGGAACTGAGTATATAGCATGCAGATACTACACAGATTGCCAATTCCTGTAGAACCATCTATTTAATAACAAAAAATGGCTAGAAAAATGCAGATGAACCAAATTGTGTGGCTATCAGAATTATTTCTTCCCACTCTGATTAGAAATATTTATATGTATGGAGAACAAAAACACGACAGTCTCAGTATTAGGAAATAAAGATTAAAGTTCATTAGACTGCTCTAATCAAAACACAAAGATTCTTACTAAATTTTGCTGACACTGGTATTTAGGTCACCATAGCACAATATTAATTTTCCTTGCTTAGCCTCCACCTTTAGGGATATCACCTTACAAAACAGTTTTATTTTGTTAAAAAAAACCAAGTAGGACAAATTTTATTATTTTATTTATTTAAACAATTGTTATGCTGCCCCATTCGCAAAAAGCCTCGGAGCGGCTTACAACAATAAACAAACATAAATAAACAGTTATATAATTAGAGTTAAAAAACCAGAAACATCTCGGCATGTACATAAAAACCCAATAAATACAATTCATAAATTAACAATTAAAATAACTTTTAAATAAAAAGGTCTTGGCCTGGCGCCGAAAAGCAAATAACGATGGCGCCAGGAGGACCTCTCTGGGGAGCGCATTCCATAGGTGGGGCGCCACCGCAGAGAAGACCCTCCTCCGGGTACTCACCCTAATATCTTTCACAGAGGGTTCCCAGAAAAGGGCATCTGCTGCCGATCTCAAGGGGCAGGAGGGCATATATGGATGCAAGCATTCCTTTAGATAACCAGGTCCCAAGCCGTTGAGGGCTTTATAGGTGATAATCAACACCTTGAATTGAGCCTAGACTTCAATGGGGAGCCAGTGAAGCTGACGGAGAACTGGGGTTATATAAGAACAACGCCGAGTCCCTGTCAGCAATCTGGCAGCTCTGTTTTGCACCAATTGAAGTATCCGGACCATCTTCAAGGGTAGCCCCACGTAGAGCGTGTTACAGAAGTCTAACTGGGAAGTTACCAGTGCATGTGTCACTGTCACCAGGCAATCATTCTCCAGGAAGGGACGCAGCTGATGGATCAGCCGAAGCTGAAGGAAAGTGCTCCTCGCCACCGCCGTCACCTGAGCTTCTAATGACAGCTCAGGGTCGAGGAGCACTCCCAAGCTGCGAACCTTGTCCCTAAGAGGGAGTGCAACCTCATTCAGGACAAGGTCCAGGTCCCCCACCCCGAAGCCCAAACCACCTACCAACAGGGCCTCTTTCTTGTCTGGATTGAGCTTCAGTTTATTGGCCCTCATCCAGCCCATTACTTCGGCCAGGCACTGGTTCAGTACAGCCACTGCCTCACCTGGATTGGTTGAAAACGAGAGGTAGAGCTGGGTATCATCAGCGTACTGATGATTCCGCAGCCCACACCTCCTAATGACCTCTCCCAGTGGTTTCATGTAGATGTTGAATAGCAAGGGGGACAAAATGGACCCCTGCAGAACTCCATGGCATAACTGCCATGGTGCAGAGCCATAGTCCCGCAGCACCACCTTCTGGAATCGGCCATTGAGACAGGAGCGGAACCACCACAGAGCAGTGCCCCCAACTCCCAATCCCGCTAGCCTATCCAGAAGGATCCCATGGTTGATGGTATCGAAAGCCGCTGAGAGGTCCAGGAGAACCAACAGGGATGCACTCCCCCTGTCTCTCTCCCTGCACAGGTAACGTAAATCACCACTGAAAATGGTTTTCTTGGTTTTCTTAAAACCATGCTGGCACATTTCCCTAGGCAGTGAATTCCATAAGGAGTGGAAAACCTTCTTCAGGCTGAAAACCTGTTCACATGTAGCTCCTATGCACATGTGTTTTTATGAGTGCATCCCAGAGATGAGCATGGCCAAAACTACCCTCTCTTTCTTCCTGTGTTTTCATTCTCTTTACCCTTCCTTTTCATTTTCTTCTCTGTGCAGTGAAATGCAAATGAACTAGTAAGGGAAAAGAGACTGATCTCAGATTTTTGCAGAACCGGCAGGATGTGGATTGGATACAGACTCCTGTTGGGTTAGAGGCTTCCTATGGTTGATCTAGGTGCTCCTGCAGAAGAGCCCCTATGTCTGGTAATCACCAAATAAATCTGAAAGATAGCCAGATCCCAAACTACTTAGAACTGTAAAGGTAATTGAAATAAAATATCTTTAAATTGATCCTGGAAACAGACTGGTAAAAATATGGTATAGGCATTATATGACCAGATGGGCTTGCTCCTACCAACATCCTGGATGACTGCATTTTGAACCAGCTGCTGAGCTCTCTCTAAGAACAGCCCCACTTAGAAAGCATTGCAGCAACCCAGTGTGGATATAACTGAGGCTAGGTCCTTGGTAGGTTCAGGAAGACTCTCAAGCTGCACACTTAATTCTTCAATTCCAGTTCATGACTACAGATAAATGTGCTCTCATGAGTGTTCCTATGTGGATGCAATCTTAGCTAAGCCTGAAATACACACAGGGTGTATTCTTCATGTGATTATTTTCATTTGGATGTGCTCCAAATGACTGCCATAAAGGGCAGCACTGAGACATCATGGGATTCAGAGCTTGCTTATGTCATATTAGAGGCATGGGAGAGAACAAAGCTCACTTGATCAGGAAGCTCCAACAAGGCACACTGAAACATACGCATGCAAAATAACACCCACACAATGCTTCTATAACAAGTTTACATGGCAATGAGACCACAAACAATTATATCTGAATCAGTATTTAGTTTTGTTAAGTGATTACCAATATAAGAACATACACATCTGGCTCCACTGCATAAACTTGTGGAAAAGCATGAAGATTAATTAATGACAAGATTTATCGAGCCCATCGTCTTACTTCTGCTTTGCTCTATCTACTTAGTTTTGACTCTCTGCCCTCTGGACAAAAATATAAAATAAGCACTCATTACAGTTTGCAACCAACTGAGAAACATGTTTGACCCAGGACTTGTAATAAACTTAGTAGTGCAAAGGATTTGCAGAATCTTACAGAAATACTAACACTTAAGATCTGTCGCAGAAGGACAATATTTGAGTTCTGCTGTACAGATACTCAAATTGAAATAATACTGACATAAGAAGCAAGTACAGAAGCAACAGTTGGACTTGAGTAAATGTTTGCAGGGTCAGTAAAGACAGATGATCAACTGAGAATTTATGCAAATCTTAGCAAACATGTGGCAGAAGAGGAATACAACATGCCATAATGAAACTGTTCATTTTTTAAATGCCCCCCTCCGAACCCTGTCTTTGTATTTGTCTAGGACAACATAATGTGCAATAAGCTTATTTCACCCATCTTTGCATTTATTTCTTCTATGGTCAATATTCTACCTAAATGCTACTCTCTTCTGTACATTTTGCTATGGACAATAGATCCATTACTGAGTCAGGGAGCAAATGACAAGTTCCTTAAGTGTGCAATTCTGTTCATATATTGATTTTTAAAAGTCTACCTTCCAGAATTCCCTGGCCAGCCATGCTAACCAGGGTATTCTGAGAGACATTGGGCTGTTTTTCTGTGTAAACATACACAGGATTGTGCCCAAAACCAAAGACCTTATACTCAATCACACTGACATAATTTACTCCAGAGCCATAGTCTGCTTTGTAAAATGCCTCTTACATAAACAGTTATTCAAGTAGTTATACCAATAACCATACTCACTTTTATGGGTCTATTGCAAATTTACAGATTACTTCTTTGGTTGCAAAAGACACACTGTTAGTTAACATCTGAATTACACTGCTACAAAATGATGTTTAATGATGGAGCTCAGATACCTATTAGCACCCTCTTAACTGCCTATTGGAATATGAAAGTATCAGATGTTGTTTTGATAGGGATTAGCCTCTCTTCATCCTCAACAAATAAGCCTCAGAAAAATAAGCGTTCTTCTCACAACCAATGTGTCGAGTCAAACCAATTTTTGGCAAATATACCTTTTCACTGATACAACACTATGTTATAAAATTTTGGGACTGTTTTGGGAGGCTGTATAACCAAAAAGCATTTGAGTCCACAGCACTTTTTGCACTTCTAAACACGGTATATTGAGGTAAGGGATTCATTTCGAAAACAAGGAACTGGGTGCTCCACCGCCTGTCCTATTTGCTTTAAACCAAAGACGTAATTACCGAGCAGGATTACGTAGCAGACAAGAATCCCCTTCGCACGAACAGCTGGTGTACGAAGTAACAGAAGAGGGACGAGGCCCGAATCTTACCTACCCCCTCCCACTCGGCACCTCTACCATGAGGCGAACGGAGAATATCCAAGCTCTCTTTGTAGTCCCACCAAAGAAACAAACAAACCAGACCCCCACCCGACAGCCTCCCTTCTGTCAGATTCCAATCATGGCCAAGGAAACAAAATGCTGCGTGTTTCGTCCCCAGCACACCACAAAAAACACCACTCACCCGATCCGTCAAGCGAGCCACTGCCGGAAGTGAACGAAAGAAACAACAGGAAGTGACGACATTGAGCGCGCATGCTCTCAAGCGCCGAGGGACTCTCCCGCACGTTGAGCTCCTACACAGAGAGTGCGGCTCAGGCATTCTGGGTTTCGCTTGTGTTCGCCCGGAGGCCGTGCTCGGCGCATGCGCATCAGGTCTGCGCCTGGCTTGGTTTTGGCGCCTCGCTCGTACTTAAAAGCAGTCGTTCCCACATCCGGGTCATTCTCCTTTTATAAAGCGGGCGGAAGGCGGCAGCGTGTTGTAGGTAAAGTGAAGCGGTTGAAGTTTTCTTCTGGTGCTGAGGGCAACTTCTTCGGCTCGCCGCTGGATTGAGTAAGTGTGGCCCCCGGGGACTCCCTCGCCCGCAGCTTTCTCCTCAGAGGAGGAGCGGCTTGGCGAGCCTGGTTCTTTCCGCCAAGGGCGACCGGCTTCTGCCGAGTCACCGCGTCAGGCGCAGCTCGTCGGGCGCTCTTCCTGAAGGGCTGAGCTCCCTACCCCAAGGGCCCTGCTGGTGTTCGGCCGCATCCCCCTTGCTTCCCCGGGGTGCGGTGCGTCGCTGACTGCGCGGCAGGCAGAGACGCCACAGGTGAAGAGGCTCGTCGCTCTTTCGGCAGGCCAGGATCCGCATTCAGTGGCTGCGTTTCTGCTGCGTACGCAGCAAGCGCCTGTCGCTGCTGTGCAGCATGGTAGAGACCACATGGCCCCTTCACAGCAAAATTGTTACAGAATAAACAGAGTTGAGTAAAATACCTTAATCCCATTGTTCCTTTGCAAATCTGTGTACACAGAATCAATCTCATACTACCTAAGTGCTAAGTTTCAAAAAATTCGATGAATAGAAGATTGTTGGAAGTGGAATACAACTACAGGAGAAGCTAAGTGTGAAGAGGGAGGGGCAAGCAGTAGAAATGAAAGTGAACCCATTTGAGCAGAATACTTCTCAAGAGACAGTCCTTTGGATCTGTTTGTGTATAGCCTGAGGTTTATCATATTATTCTTTCACTGGGGGAAAAAACCTGTAATGGCAGCAGGCCATTTAAAAGAGACCCAATTTGAGAATATTTTAATGAAGTTACTCTACCTATGGGTAAGACAGGCATGCATGCAAATTCTGTAGAAAACCTTGATTTAAATTTAGTTTTACTGACTACTGACAATTCCACCCTGCTCAGGTTTGATCGCTCATGGCACTAAGGGAAGAACAAAGTGGCTGTATGGGCAGGCAAGGTGTTTGTTCTTATCTTGGCATATTACCTGAGACATGATTGCCCAGTTAGCAGCTGCTGTTCATCTTAGCTTTGTTTAGATATGGTATGGGATTCTATGAACAAGCCCTGGACTGTGTTATGATTCCCTCCCTAAATTGCCATTCACCAGCAACTACGGATGTGTGAGGAACCTTTTTTGTGTGGAAAATCTTCTGCATTCCCGGGTTTCAGTTTACTGGACTCCAGTCTGCAGTAGCCCAGAGTCAGAGTTCCTGACAAGTGTGTCCAGGGTTCGCAGGGTGCTTTCCAGGAATTGAGCCCACAAACTGCACAAGCATTGTCATTCTTTGCCTGCTGCTGCCACCAACAGCAGCAAGCAGGGAAGAAGTTTGGCTGTCAGGAATGGTGGCTGGTGAACCTGTTCACTGCGCCCCTTTGCTGTGTGAGTTGCCAGTGGCAGTGGTGGCAGCAGCAAGCAGAGAGTAAGGCTAGTCACCAGGAATGGCAGCTAGCACAGCTGCTCACTGTGCCCCTTTTCCACATGTTCCTCTGCTGCCATTGGCTCAGCTCACTTTGCAGGACCAGGCTCAGCATGAGACGAAGTCCACAGATTCTAGAAGGGTTCATCTCAACCCTACTGGTAACTATGATTTGCAATTGCATCTCAGCAAGAAAACTTTGAAACCATTTTAGGAAGCCTTCAAACTATGGTTCATTTAGAACACATGATTGGTCCCCCCTCCCCCATAGTAGGTTGCAAGAAAATGTTCAGGTGCTACTAAAACTCAATTCAACAAAGGCCAGAATGCAAGGATTGTTTGCAGTATTTCCTTGGTGCATTTTACGGAGCCTCTATTCTTTAATTTTATTCTCTCTCTCCTGAGGTTTTGTCCTTATAAGATAGTATGACAACGGGCAAGTTTTGCCTTTTTAGCAACTATGCTGAACCTAAATTTTGAGGTGCTTCATAAAGTAGTAATTATGTCATTACTTCCTCTTTCGTTTTTATCTTTGCATTGTGAAAAGTAGAAAGTGAGAGCATGCCTGCTGTATTACCAGTAGATCCAACATTCAGCTAAACCTTTTAAAAAAGACAATCTAATTCATGTACCTTCTTGTCATCTGTTCATTTGGCAGGTGAGCATTACAGGACATTGTCTTGTGATAATCACTTCCTTTTCTGTCTGTGTTGTTGCCTGAATAACACATAATATGTACATTAAACACATTATGACACATCCCTCCTACTTGATGTGTCATAATGACATCTAACTGGCAAGCATGCAAACAAGATGTCTGAATTAAATCATTTCAGAGCAAGCGATCATCAGCTGAGTGGAGCAGGGAGGGAGTTGTGTCCAAGTGAGCATTTGGGGGCAGTTTTGTTCTGTTGCTTGCTTGCTTTTTTGGGTGTGTGTGTGGGGGGGGGGACTCTTTAAACATCAGCATTTTGAATGTATATAACTTAGGCATGTCAATCGAATCTTCACTTTAATGTGAATAGCTTTTTATGTGTTCTACACCGAAAAATAACTGACACTTATAAAGACTGTAAGCTCAAAATGGTATTTGTCACCTTGTTATACTTTGTTGTTGTTGTTAATTTATTTCATTTATATACTGTCTGTAGTTGAAGCTCTCTGGGTGGTTTACAACCGAAGGTGCCTTTTATTGTGCTTCTATATGTAGTTAAAAGTACAGACACATAACTACTTGTTAGACATTCCATTTCAGTGTTCCTTTGTACTTATGTAAGCTGGTTATACTTCAGCTATTTTTAAGTGACAGTTAATGCTGAGTTCTCCCTGAAGCACTCAGCATGGTCTGATGCTGTACTGTGTGGATGGTGGCTCAAATAACAAGTTTCTTCTGCTTAGAAACTAGCATGTCAGAAAAACTAATTTCTCATTCAAGTAGTGTTTCTGAATTAGCAGTTAGCAGTTGTTTGGAAATATATTGGCAAAGGAACCTGACTTGTTAAATGGCACCTTGAATGTCAGGATACAAATAAATTGCTGCAAAACAGTTGGGTTCCTACCATTTTAAACTAAGTAATTTTGGCAGTAAATCTCTGCATGCTTGCTTTGAAATAAGTGCATTTCAATTTAGTGGGACTTTACAGGGTTGCCTTGTTGCAAGAACTGTATGCTTCATGCCCAAACACTGTATATGGCATGGGAGATGCCAATATATCTGATTAAAAGCAGATGTGGGGAAGGATTTGGATTATCTTTGTTCTCCTCTGTGACTAATAACTTTTTGAGGAAGAAATTCAAGTTAGGTGAAATGACACAAGGAAAGAGAGGGAATCTCTCAGTGGGTGAATGGAATCTATCTTGGTGAAGTAATAATAAATGTAAACTTGCAGTTATATGAAATACAGTAGCCCCCCGAAATTCATGGGGGTTGTGTTCCTAGAGCACCTGTGAATTGTGAAAAACCGCAAATTTTGAATGTAGTAAAGGATCATTGCCAGAAGCCTTAGAACAGGGGTCCTCAAACTTTTTGAACATGGGGCCAGTTGAAAGATGCCAGCAATGGGCGTGAGCTGCCAAGGCAGTGTGGGAGGGGGGCACGGGCTGGGAGGGCGGGCGGGCATGCACGGTGAGGCAGGGACAGGGGCGGGTGCACACAGAGGTCATTTTCCTTGGAGATTGGTTTGGACTCGCTCGGAGAAAATGAATTGCAGACCATTTTGCATGCATTTTAAAAGCATAAAAATGCCTCTTCTAAGGCTTAGTATACTATCAGGAAGAACTTTGAACTGTCAGTAAAATGTGCTGGTATTGTTGATGACCTTGGTCTTTTGGCGCTACATCTTTTGCTTTCTCCCTTTTGCCTTTGGCTCTGCCATGTACATGAATGCTGCCCCTGAAAGGCTCACCAAAATGGAATTTGGTTCAGAAAGAGATTCTGCACTACTGGCTTAGCACTATGTTTAGACTGGATCCTTGGATCTCTTGTATGTAGTTTGATCTGCAACATTTCAGAAATAAGTGGTAGTATTGGTAGAAACACCAGGGATACTTAGGGTAATCAAAACAATGAAAGAGGATTTATACTAAATAATCCTACTTGCATGTTTGTGAAAAGAAGTAGTGAAATCTCAAAGTACTGTTGCTATTTAAAAACTGCTCTTCAGACACATTCATGTGAAAACCAGTGGTGTTTTTTGCTGTTAGAACAATATATCTAATGATGTAGTACCTGGCACTCCCAAGTAATTGTGCCTAGGTCTGTAGTAGCCTTTCTCAGCCTGGTGCCCTCCAGATGTTTTGTATTGAAACTACTGGCATTACTGACCATTGGGTATACTGGTGGGCTTACTAGTAGTTGAAACTCAACAACTTAATAGATTTTAAACCATCCAGGCATCAGGTTTGGGAAGGCTGTCTATAGCATAATAGCTTTTCCTAGGCTGCATTTTTTCTTCAGTTTCAGAAGGGCTTGTGTAACAGCCTGTCATGGCTTGCATCATACCATACAATATTGCAGAATTGGAAAGCATGTCTGGATAGGAACTAACAGGATCAGTAGAATCGTTGTAGCATGCTATGTAAATGGAAGTCAATTTTGTAAAGAAATTAAAAGGGTGAAAACTGCCATACAAGTAGTGCTGTCAACAGCTAATATACTGTTTTATATTGTATACAGCTAATATACTGTAGTATAATATACTGATAGCCGTATACTACATATGAGAGACAGTATATTTATGCACCAGTTGCTGGGGAACTTGTGTAAGAGGTAATGTAGCACTTAACATTGTGCTTGTGGGATTCTGTAGGTGGCTGGTTGACCACTGAATGAACGGAATGTTGGATTAGATGGACCTTGCTCTGAACCAGCACAGTTGCTGAATCAGATAAGATATAGTTGGGACAAATAGTTGGGAGTTCATCCAAAACGTCTGGAGAATGCAAGGTGGGTAAAATTGCTGTAAGATTTCTTGGTCATAATCCATCTGATAAATTCATCTTTCTAGCAGGAGTGCACTGTTCTTAAGAGATTACATGTTAAGAACAGGATCAATTACTGCCAGTGCAGTGGTAAGAGCTACTGCTAGCACAACAAAAGGAATCAAAATGCTAGTTTCTGGAATGTTACACATCAGTGAAGTTGGCAGAAATGACTCCACTGAGCTATTCCAGCAGCTTGCATTCTAGTTTTTTCCCCAGAGTTACTTAAGGAAGTGGTAGCTTCCTGTTGTACTAAGTGGTTGGTCCTACTGATGCAACAGAAACAATTGAGGTGCAGTGGCAACTTTGTATACTATCCTGAATTCTTTTTTTCTGAAAGTCTTTCTACATGATCTGGTAATTTGGTTCCCATATAATTTGTATTAGTCAAATCTGTGCCTTCTGTACAACATTAATCACCATCATTTTATTCATAAGTGTATATCTCTTTTAGCCTCCAGAGAGCAGTGGATTATTCTCTGACCATGTTGGAGATTGAGGAGAATCTCCAGGCAGCTTTCAAAAAGCTACGGGTTGACTCAGAAGGGTAAGTGGCAATGTTACTAAATATTAAGTTGTGAAGGTCCATTCTGCATAGTAAGGAATGTGATCTGTCTTGTCCTGTATGTTTAATACAGAAGAACCCCTGTATCCACAGCAATAAATTCCAAATCCCCCATTGGATATCTGAAACTGTGAATAGTAGCAAACATTACACTGTATATACCTATGATAAAACTTAATTTATAAATTGGGCACAATAAGACATTGCACTGCAAGCTTAGAAAGTGTGAGCAATATCAGAAGGATTTGCAACCTGCCCACTATCCTGCTGCTTCCAAATTTCTGCCTGTCAGCCCTGATGAAGCCTCAGCTTGTCCCTCCTCTTTCCTGCCCCCCAACAACAGGCCTCTTCCCAGGTTCCTGCTCCCCTTCGCCCCACATGGGAACATTTACTGCCAGCTCCCTCAGCACCACCCACCCAGTACATATACTGTAGTCCCAGGCAATACTGTGCAAAATTGTTGGACTCCAGTCAGCAGTGGTTAAGCAAGAACACAGCTGCTGAGTCAGCAGGAATGGCAGTTCTGTTATATCAGTATGAAAAATTGAGATTATTTGGATCATTGGAGTGAGATACCCATAGTATACAAATGACATTCAGCTCTGCTGCTCCTTGTTATCTGATAGAAGGAAAGCAGTCCATACTTTTGAATGATGTGTGGACTTGCTGATGAACTTGAGGAGGGTGAAAAAGCTGTTGGAATGTACAAACTCAGACTTTTGGATTGAGATTGACCCTGAAAGGATTGTGCTTCCCATCAAAGATTATATTCATATCTTGGGAGTGTTTTATAATCCTACATTGTCCCAGCATTGCCAGATGTTAGGGGAAGATCGATAATGTGGTCTTTGTAGGCATAGTGAGTGGTTTTAAGTGTTAGTAGTAATAGTATTATTTTTTAGTCTGAAATTTGTCCATCACTGGAGGAAGAGGAGATTGGCATTCATAAAACATCTGTTCTGTGATTGAATTTATCTGTTTTATAATTTCATATATAATGCCTGTTCTCCACAAATAGAAGTCTTATACTTCTCACTATGGCAGGGCGAACAGCTGCATGGTCTGCAGGCCATTTTTGCTTCCCTAGCAAACTGTACTCCAAGGTGCATTGGGGGCTGGTGGCACCAGTAATTTGCTAACAGAATTTGATGGCGTATTACAAAAGAAGACTAGAAGTATCAAATGTAGTTTTTGAGCAAACTCAATCTGATCCATTCTCAGTGCTTCATGATGCTAAAGCTGGTGGTCCCCCCCCCCAACATGCACACACACACACCTGCTGCTGCTGCTGCATTTGGCAATATGGGGCCATTATGTAGCAGGAGGCAGTGGGACCTTCGTGTGGGCTGCATGCTGCCCAGCCTTGCACTAAGTGAAAATTCATAGGATGTTTTATCTAAAGAGTCTCATTTAAAAGAACTAATGGACAAAGTATGTCTGTTCCACTTGTCCTTCATTCTGAATTTACAGAATCAGCTGAATTTTACAAACAAACATTTATAGAAAAATTGAACTCCAGATTTCTTCCCATTTCCCTGGTTTCTGATACATTATTTCATTCTTTTCTGGTTTTTTAAAGTAGTGTTTCAGTGATGCAAAGATATTGAATAAAATCTGGTCTAATGATGATAAATAACAGACAAGCATGACAATGCTGAAGTTAGAAGGCTGGGTTGAAGCATTATGAGGCAATGAGTTCTAAAGGAAAGTATGATGCAGCATAGAGTTGCAGTCTGCCAAATAATTGGACTTTTTCTTTTAGAGTTATGTATTTACTCCTCTTCCCCATGATTGCACTTGTTTGCCTTATTACAGTGACCTCCATAATGTTATACTAAATTCGTGAGAAGCTTTGAAGGGGTTTCTCAGTGATATCAGGAATCATGGTCTCTAAATCAGTAGGGAAGTGTTTGATGTGTTCTAGGGCAGGTCCTCTGTTCATGTAGGACAACAGTGAAAATAGGCAGACTTGACAAGCACTGTATACTACGCAGAAGCTTTTTCCAAATGCAGTGTAATATGCAATAGTTACTTGACAGATGAGTCTGTCTGGAAGGAGGAGGGCCTTAAAGGAAAGTTTGAAAACAAGTTCAAGATTGACATGTTTTACTGGACTGGTTTTATTGTTCTAATAAAGTGAGTTTTTTTCCATCTGGGAAAACCTAAGTCCCAGTTTTAGGCAGCATCAATTTATATTTTTATACTCTTCTGCCAAGTAGCTTTGGGAGGAGAGGCTATGATCAGGGAAATAGTGCTGCTGGAGGGGTCAAGCTCACTCTCCCAGCAATACTCACTGCTTCTTCAACTAAATTAGAATAGCCCATGGTTGCTACTGGCCATTTGAAAAATTAATGCATCCAATTTCAAAGATTCTGGCTTTAAACAATGCTAAATATATCTTGGTAGGCTGAGGTTTTATATAGCAGAAGTGTCAAACATCCTTCAGCCTATGAACCAAATTCTATTTTGTATAAACTGTCAAAGGCCACTTAAGTTTTGTATTGCTATTAACTAAACCTTAGGAGAAGCCTTTCAGCCTCTTAGAGTGGAGGGAAAACCCAGGAAACTGCCATCTGATTGGTGAGTAGGTGGAGAAGGGGGTAAAGTTGGAAGAAAGTGCATGACTATCTGGGGAACCCTGGAGGACCATGTTGGACTCTTTGGCCTGAAGTTCCTGGCACCCCTGCTCTATAACATCACAACATTCTGTGCCAACATTACTTTTCTCATCCTTCAAGTGGTGACTGCATGTATTTTTCTTGTTTTAGATCCACTGCTTCTCTTCCTGTTAATGAGGGGACACCTCAGGGAGTGTCGGTAAGAACTACAGATGAAACCAAAGTAAAGACTGTGTGTGCATCTAAGGAGAGCTGGCATTGGTAAGGAATTAGTTCTGATTGATGGAAGTGCTTCAAATGTGGGAATGTTGGAGTGTTTGGCCAAACACCTTTGTCAGTTCTTAAAATGGTCAAGAGGTTGAAGATAAAAATTACTGGGGGTGGGCAAGATGTCATAGAGGTCTGATATGGCAGGGCTTTTATGTACTTACACACTTGACCATTCCAACTGAGTCTTATTTCTGTACCTGGTGAGCAGGGCAGAGCTAACTGTCACTGATTGGGTTCACATGACATCCCCTCTCCCCCGCCCATTTATAAGCTAGAAGGGCTTGGCAACTTTGCACAACACAGGACTTATTTAGGGTAACTTAAAGCTCACCAAAATGGGCTTATAAGCCATCCTGAAAGGCTAGGGCGTGCTCTGGAATCTCGTAGCCACCCTGGGGCTTGCTGTGTTGTCTGAACAATACAACAAGCCCAGGAATAACCCAAACCACTACAGAACTAGCAAAAATAGTTGCTTCTCTAGCCAAGCAACAATGCAAGAGTGCCAAAGACAGTCCTCCCAACATGTCCAAGTGGCACTTGACTGCAGCTATCAGCCTGCCCACTTTTCTTGGCAGGAGATCAGGCCACTACTAATGGTGATAGAATGGACTTGCCTGTGAGTAAGTGAGCCAGCCATATCCCCACCTGAAGCTGCTTCCTCATTGTACCTGCCTCTCTGGGCTGGCATCTCTGGCGGGAAAGAGGCTTCCACCATCCTGGGCAGCCAGTAGCCCTTTCAGCTGGCAACTGTGGTATTATGGGGTAAAGATTAGTTTGGCCAACTTGTGAGTCAATCGAGCCAGTTGTATCGCTCCCCACTACTAAAAGTAAAGTCTTTTTGGGCAATAAATCATTGTGGCGATTCAAGTTATACATGTGGTGGATGAAGTGTGCCCAACTCCTATCTGACCACAATATAATCTTCACCTCACAAAGTAAAGTGATAGAGATCACACAGAACATGCCTACACTCACCAGGTTCTAAGTTAGTAGACCCCCATCCTCCTGAAAAAAGCAAATAATGCAATGTTATGTCAAACCAAAATGGCAGCACAGAAGTAGCACAGGAAGGGATTCTGTTGGGGCCTGCCTAATTTTAGTGGGGATGCTCCTTCTTGGGCCCAAGGAAAGGATAGGATTGAACTGCTAGGGAGTTGGAGGGGCTGGCTTTTAGTTAAGTCAGTCACCTTCTTCCCATGCCACTCTTGTCTTGATTGAGGCCTGGATGGTATGGGAAGTGATGCAGGGAACATTTCCAATATTTCTCTATTCCCTGATCAGAGATGATAGAGATATTCCTATCTATCTATTTTTGGATTTATATCCTGCCTTCTTCCTACAAAGGGCTCAAGGCAGCTTACGTCTCCTCCTCCATCTTATCCCCACAACAACAACCCTGTGAGGTAGGTTGGGCTAAGAGTCTGTGACTGGCCCAAAGTCACCCAGTTGGCTCCATGGCTGAGCAGGAACTAGAACCCAGGTCAGCTGAGTTCCAGTCCCATGCTCTTAACCACTACACCACACTGGCCTCCCTCCTCTCTTTTTATGCCCCTTTTCCTCAAGGGTGCGGGGGAAGGCAGGAGGTTGGGAATAAGACTCAACTGTCTGCAGGCTGTAAATTGCCCTTGTCTGGTCTGCAATTCATGTCACACTTCAAAAAAAAAAACCTTCCTTGCTTTTTAAATAAGCTTGAGTCATAGACTGTATGAAGAAAATTATTAGGCACTACAACTGTTTTTCACAAATTCAAAGTGTTCTGTGGTGTGCATGCTTATAGTAACACATACCCCCTTGAATGGACCAGATGATGATGCTTGAATGTGGTCATTAAAAGGGTCACTATTTTCTGTTACTTTTTGTTTGCTGTGTAAATAGAAATAGCAAAATATTTTAATTCACAGTGTAAATCTGATTCTTGCTACCAGAACAGTTCAGTACTGTGTTCTGTCACATGGCCAGACAAGTTCTTTCCCACTTTGGAGTAGACAACCAATGCCTTGCTTAAACATGGTCCTTACTCTGAATTGCAGTGCTGAGTGACTATGGGTAGAATCCGATACATGATCAGCTAAAGAATGCTGGGAGTTATAGGACCCTTCTGTCTAACGTTGCATTACATTGAACCCTTAATTATCATCTAGTTCAGTGAAGATTGGATTGTTAACGTCTTCATTTTCATTTTTAGGTGTTTGAGGAAACCTTTGAAAGGAGCAATGAAAACACAGCGTCGCCGGCGGTCCAAGTCTCCAGTACTCCATCCTCCTAAGTTCATCCACTGCACAACCAAAATGACTTCCTCTAGCCAACAAATGCACAAGAACCCAGCAAACACCTTTCAAAGCAGCTGTGGCCTTGATGTGCCATCCCAAAAGGAATTCCCTAAGAAGGATCAGGCCAATCATTATCTCAGTGATGTTAACAAAGAGCTAATGGGGCCCAAACCTTCTGGGGCATCCATGGTTGAAATGCCAAAGAACACACCTGAAAACGACACTGCTGGTGGTATTCTTCTTCCTGCAACAATTCTAAAAGCCACAGATCTTTCTAATTTCCAATCTGTGTCGGCGCAAAATCAAGGGAATCTGTGTGCCTGTGTAGACAAGCCCTGTCATTGTAAGCAATGGCAGGACATGAAAGTGTACATGTTTTCTGGCCTACAAAACTCCCCCCTGTCTGCACCCAAAAGAAGAGCACATATGCAGGACAACTCCCAACTTTTGTCATCAAGAACTCCCTCCAACTCCCTCAGGTCTTGCTCTGAGCAAGCCAGAGCTTGTGTAGATGATGTGACTATTGAAGATCTTTCTGGGTACATGGAATATTATCTGTATATTCCTAAGAAAATGTCCCACATGGCAGAAATGATGTACACCTGATAAAGTGGGCTCGAATGAGCTAAGGGCTGTGGCATCTGCCTTTGGTCACACTTCATCTTAGAAGCAGTTGCTCTCTGTGCTTGTAATAAAAACACTTTGCATCAGAGACAACCTTTTTCTATTTCCTGCTCCATTTAATGTTAACTCTAAAACCAGAGAATTGCAAAGACAACCAGCAAGACTGTGGAATGACACCAGCTTGTTTAAGGCATAAACTTAGTGAATGGTTAGTGGGATTGATTGACTAAAAACATTTAGGACAGCATTTTGCAATACTGTACTTTCAGTTTAGAGGGGAACGAGGCCCTTTGCATCTGGAACTAAATAGAACATCTTGCTGCATTTTTGGTTTTAGAATGCATACAGTTTCTATGATACTGTAAAGTGTGGAATTGGAAGCACCGGTTTCTTCTGTCACTGTTCCTGATATTTGGGTATTCTCCAGAAAGCTAACTTTGTTTGAGAAGCATAGCATTAATCATCTGCTAAATGAGGTGTTGTCTTGAAGTATATATTTTCTGTAATTATAGGGGGAAATAGGAAAAACACACTTAGCATTATTCTTAACACAAAAAGAAGCAGTTCGGGCAGTTTATTTTGCAGGACAGAGAATCCTGTGGAATAAATGAATCCAACATTTTAGAAATTTAGACTTTCGATTAAATGGCTAATGGATGAACACAGAAATCAAGTAATTTTATATAGCCACTAGATGTCAGCTTTGCTCCATATCAATAATGGGATGCCATCATGCATCCTTAACCAGTGCTTATGCTTGCTTATAAACCAAGCTCTGTTCAGCTCTGTTTCGTAGAGCATCCCTTTTGGCATTAATGTTCCAATGTTTGGCAATTAAGGAAGTGATCACTTTTGCATTTACAGCTTTAAAAACAATGCGTATTGAAAAAGGTTTACGCTTGCTATGAGTTAATGCTGAAGAGGGTGATGTAATTTGTAAATGAGATGTCATGGTGTTACTGCTTTTAAAATAGACTACATCTCTTTCTGGCAGATTTGGATTTAATAAAGCTGTCCTGCCTCAAGTCAGTATTAGATATGCTTGAAAGCTACTGCCAGAGATGGAGTCTTTAGGGCTTGTTTTTGTCTTCTGCCAAGTCAACATGCAAATTGAATTTACTACAAAGCAGCTAGGGGGATAAGCACAGGTCAGGCCCCTGTTCCTTTAATAGTCATGTAGAAGAAAGAATTTCAGCAGGTGGAACTAGCATGATATAAGTATTACAGGTTCCAAGAGTCTTGTCTTTTGCATCTTACCACTGTAATGCAAACCTACTGAAGCCATACTCCATGTGGTTGCATCCCAGTTTCTCAAGCCTTTGATTGCAGTGGCCAAGAATTGCATAATACATTCTCAGAAGCTGGGTTCTGAGCTAGCTTGTCTCCTGCAATCCACCTACTCCACAGTTACACTGTGGATGCATTTCACTCTGCCACAGCAGTTGTCCAAGAGCCCCCTGGAAAGATACTGTTGCTCTGAAATCAGTTTTCACTTGCACGTACTCTTTTTCAGTGTTTGCTTTCTTTTCGTGCTAAGAGGAAGTTCATAGCTGCACTGCTATGCAAATGATATGAACTCCTTCACTGCAAGGATGGGCAGAAAGTAGATCTGCAGATGTTTTGGACTTCACTGGCCATGTTGAGAGTGGTTCCCAGGAAATGAAGTCCTAAGCATCTGGAGATCTACCATCTTCCCACCTCTTTTATTTCATGGCTAGGGCACGCCAACTTGTGTTGAGAACCTAAGGAATAGCAACTCAGGGAAGTTCATTAGGCAGCTAGAGAATATGAAGAGCTGTCTTAAGTGTTTTGTTTTGTTTTTCTGAAATAAACCTGTGAGATGAAACTTAATGACTTTATTATCTTGACAGTTGAAATATTTGATTTATCATTCCAAGTTAATTTATGGAGTATTCTATATTATTGTTATGCACTTCCATTTTAAAGTGCTACTTTTTCTTTAAGATGAGGTACATGTGATTAAATATGGAACCTGGGTGCAAATAAAATTATTTCTTGTGCTAATTACTGTAACAACTGTATAATGTGTCAAAAGTAACACAGATTACCTCCATATCTGCTTATGTTCTGACAAAGTGTTCACCTGTTGCTGGTAATATGTGCAGAAAATAACATACGTTTTGCCTTTTAGCATTAGGTCTTCTATATAAGAGGAATGAAGTCTGATCCAAGGAGCTGAAAACCTAGATAAGCTTACTGTGTGTATATCCTTAGTTCTTTTCACCCTCATGTAGTTCACTCCTTCACTGAATATAGATTGCATTATAAGAGGGAGACCATAGTGCAGGCTGTACACAACACAGCATCTTCTATCTATATGCACAGGAAAATACCACTTCAAGTGTTTAGCATTAACGAATATCCAATATTTAGACTGGAATAAATGCTGACAGGCAAGATCAAAGGCCAAAGTGCTTTGACAGATGAAGGCCTTATGGAGCAGCCACTGCTTGGATGGCTTTTGATTCTCAGGCTGCATCCTAAAATTGGTGCTTGTGAAAATAGCAGTTAAATAGGGCTTGTAACTACTTGCTTTCTGGCATTATTTGGGTAGGGTAACTTTTCTGTAGTCTCATGTACTACTTAAAAGCATTCTGTCTTGTCATTCCTCAAAAGAGTGTGAAATTACTTAAACTGTAGGTAAAACAATCACATGGAAAAAGCTGAGTAAAGCATAGCATCAAAAATGCTCATTAAAACAACATTAAAAACATTTAAGAGTCATAAGCTTTCATAAAATGGAAAGGTATTCCCTGTGCAAAGGAAAGCCATTCCTTAAGGGGTCCCCTTTTGGAGGGAGTGCTACCAGGAAGAAAGGTCCTCTTACTCTTGACTTTCCTATCAGTAGTTCAATCTGTGCTTTCCCCATTGGCTTTACAGTCATTAAGATGTGCCCACTTAAAAGGTATTTAATTTAGACTTGGAATTTTAATAGTCATGTTCTAATGCAGCTAACAAAAGGCTGTTGGGAAGTATCTGGAACTGCATGTGTGTTGGTATTTATAATATAAAGATGGCTAAGGCTTGAAATTGAAACATGCTTGAGATCTGTATAATCTATGCCTGAAAGTGTCATTTCTGCACTTGGTGGTTGCAGTATCAGGAAATTAGAAGCCAGTAGCTTGCTACGCTAAACAGGAAAGTTATATTTGACATATATAACATTTCCAGCTTGTCTCACTTTTTTTGGCTTTGGTGGGGAGCATTTCAGTCTTTGGAAAGCCTGAAGATAAGGCACCTGAACAAAAATTCTGGCATAAAACTCTCCTATAAACCCTGAGAGACATTTCAACTTTAGAATGGGAGAAAAACCACACAAAAGCTGGAGAACCATCATGACCAGTGGGCAAGGGACAGGTAGCATGCATGGCTGTCTACCACCCTTTAGGTGGGAGGAGAGGCTCTGTACCCTTTTCCTAAACATAAGCAGCATGTTATTGCAAGTGGAAGTGCAGGAGATCTGAAGGTACACAGTCTAGGTTTACTCCTGAATAGTAAAATAGTCTCAGGAGTTTTCATAAATAGTTTAGGGTAGTTTTTGTTGGAATAGAACTTGAATATTGCATTTTGTGTTTTAATGCCAATTGAACTTAACAGGGGAATGGTGAGATGTTTCTACCTGCATGCTCAAGCTGATGCAGATGCCTGAATGCCTTCCTGTGTAAGAGCACTTCTGAGCTTAGGCTAGTTTCTATTTCCTCATTTAAAAACCAAGAAAAAAAACCTGCAAACATGTGCACCTAGCTGCACGCTGAACTGATTCTGCTGACTGCATAATGCGGTGGTTGTCTCTTGTGCCCTGATAACTACTGAACTTTAATGTTGGAGTAAGGCTACCTGTGAGCATGCTGTCATCCAGATACACACAAGCCCATCTGTTTTGTTTTTGTTTTCTTAGGCTTTATGGCTATACCTTACCATACTTCCTGCAGTACAAAGGAGGTCAAGAAGGCGGAAACAAGGCCCCACAACATCACTAGTCCCCAAGGAGGAGGCAAACTTCCTCAAGCAGCAAAACCTTACACAAGGAAGGGAGGAATTCAGATGGCTTACACACTTCGCAGGACACATTTTGGAGCAACTTGGGGAACTTCAAAACAACTTTGCTTAGCATTCAGTGCAAGTCTTGCAACTGATACTTTCGCAGGAAGCACAGAATACTCGCTTTCTTCCTCTGCGGTACCTTTGAGGACAGGATCCACCCCGAGGCCCTGCGTGTGTCCTGTCCTAGTCCCTCGACTCTTAACACCTTCATTCATCGATTCTACCATTCATTCTCTCCGGCGGGCCCGCCTGCGGTTTCCTCTTCGCCCCGTGACGAGCACAAGTGTCTTTTCCTGCTCCTGCAAACTTCGGCGCGAACGATCTGAGAGAAAGCGCTTCCCAGGGTGCTATTTTTAAACTCAGGCACTTGCTTTCTCAACCGCTCTCCCCTCTCCGCTTTTCTAACTTTTAAATCCCAGCCCAAAGAGGGTGGGGGTGGGCGCCTCTCTCCTCCATAAAAGGGTCCTGGAAAAGGGGCCGGGCCATGGGGGGTTATTTTAGGCACTGTTCTAGGAATCCGATGGCCTTGTTAGGGCAGCCTTGACCTTTTTCTCCCCGAAGGAGAAGACGACGCTGGCGGGGAGAGCCGGAGGCGCGCATATCCTATGGGACTCTAACGAGGCTGGCATCGCCCGTTGCCACCAGCCGGGGGCCATCTGCAGCCGCGCGGGGCGCAGCAGCCCAGGCGAGCGGGGCGGCGCGGGCCGCGGGGAGCAAGGCGTGCGCTAGGCGCTGGGGGCGGGCGGAGGACGAGAGCTTAGGGCGATCCCCTCTCCGGCTTACCTTCGTGGTCTGCACAGGCTCTCTCAGGGGCCGGATGATCAGGACATTTAGAAGCGGCGGCGGCGGCGCCCAGGATGGAGTAGTTGCCTCGGGTGGCTTGCGCTCCAGAAAGAACTTGCCACGCTTGCCCAGGCCAGGGTCGGGGCGCTTGGAAGCAGCCCGGAGGACGTGGAGGCGTGCGCCTCCTTGCAGCTGAGAGGGGACTTCACCTCCTCTGTCAGCCCCCTCCCCCGCTTTCCCACTAGCCATTTTAGACCCCCCCCCCGTGTCTCCTTCCCTGCAAGCTTGGTAGTGCCAAGCAAGGGCTGGTGGGCCAGTAGCAGTCACCGCTTTCTGAGTGCCCCCTGGAGTGGCTTTCGGGTAAACGGGGCTTCTACCCCCGGCAGCAGCCTCGCACCTCCTCTTGAGCGCTTCTTCTCCCTTTGCGCCCTCTTGTGAGGCCAGAGCACCTGACACTGTAGACTGAGCGCTACCTGGCTCTTCCGCAGCTATCCGTTAACTTCTCACAGCCCGACTAATGGAGAGACATTCAGGCTAACGAGGGAGGGGAAACGAGGGAGAGCGAGAAGGAGAAGAAAGGACGAGCAGAGAGCCCTGGGTTGTTGGCCTTGACTGGTACCATGAGTGGCGGAAGGTTTGACTTCGATGATGGAGGCGCCTACTGTGGCGGCTGGGAAGGGGGGAAAGCCCATGGCCATGGCATCTGCACTGGGCCCAAAGGTCAGGGCGAGTATTCTGGGTCCTGGAACTATGGCTTCGAAGTGGTCGGGGTCTACACCTGGCCCAGTGGCAACACCTATGAAGGCTACTGGTCCCAAGGCAAGAGGCATGGCTTAGGAATTGAGACAAGAGGACGGTGGCTTTACAAAGGCGAATGGACGCACGGCTTTAAGGGAAGGTATGGGATCAGGCAGAATGTCAACAGTGGAGCAAAGTATGAAGGCACCTGGAACAATGGGCTGCAGGATGGTTATGGTACCGAGACCTACGCGGATGGAGGTAAGAGGCTGGCAAGAAACCATCCTGTTTTCTGTCTGGGTGAGGGGCAACTGGATGGACTGGGCGCTCCGGCTTACGATATGTCAGCTGGAGTTCCAAAGAGCATAGACCATTCAAGGGGAAAGGGCCCACTTGTGATCTCCTGAACACTGGATGCTGGACAGGTGAAATTAAGGCCCTGAAGTGTGTTGGTTGGTCGTTTTTAAAGGGAACCACTGTAGCTCAGTGGTAAACAGATGCTATGTATGCAGAATATCCCAGGACTGATCCTGGGCATTTCCAGGTAGAATTAGGACAGAATCCTTCTTGAAACCCTGGGGAGCCACTTGCAGTCAGTTTTGACAATTTTGGGTCAGATGGGCCAATGATCTGAGTCAGGAAAAGGCAGTTTTCTGTGCTTCTCATGTTCTAATCTCTTCAGGCATGTTCGCTTTATATACAATCTCAAGCTGCCATGCACTTTCCTCATAAGCTGTGCATGTGCACATGGAGGAACAAAGACATCCATAGATGCTGATACATAGGCTTTGGATACACTTGTTGCTGTAGTGCCAATGTGTGAATAAACCAGGGATTTAGAAATGAGGTGTGACCTAATCCAATCCCATTTCTGCTGCTAATAGAGTTCAGATGTCATCTCAGTGACATAAATGATTTCATTCTTCTTCAGTTTAGGGTGCATCTGGGCAGAAGCTCACTGGTTTTAAAGTCATCCTATATCATTCTTCAGAACTTGCTGGCTGGTGGAATATCTGGTGGGCATTTTGCAACTCATAATGTAACCAGAAATGGTCAGCAACTCCTGCCTTTGGCAGATGTGGTAGAGGGTGCTGTTGAGATGGACCTGGCATGACTATTGCCTGCCACAGTGAAAAGAAACCTGGAAAACAACTAATGGGGTCCAAACCTGCTGCTTAGGTTTGCATAAGTGTGTAACCAGCCACAAAAACTGACTGATTTAGGTGCATCCTTCCTTCAACTATTTCATAGCTGACTGGTTTAGAAATCAGTGTTTAGCCATTTCTCTTTGGGAAACCCAAGGCAAACTCTCCAAGTGCTTAAGTGCATTTCTTAACCTAGTGCAAGATTTTTCATTGAACTACTTAGAGAATGGTTTTCTAATGGAAATATATTAGCCTCTCTAAAACAGAATGTGGCCTAATTGCACAAGTATTAGCACTTCAGAGCCCTTGATATATAATTTGATAGGGATTTGCAGACTGTTGTAATGACTCAGGTTCTCTCTTCAGTCAGTAGTCCTTTGTTTTCAGCAGGATCGTGTGTTTAATTCCTAGGGGCACCTTAAATAAGTCAAGCAGGTGTTTTTTGGTGCAGGGAGGGCAAGCAACGAGAAGGGTACTGGTAGGGTAGGATACTGTCTAGACAAATGCTCAGTCATTGGTGGCATTGGGAAGAAAAGTTCACAGGCAGGTGCCAAGAGTCCTTATCAGTGTCTTTTTCTATTCAAGTTCACCTGATCTCTGTTTAATTTTATGGATATAGTTATAAATGGGGTTTATAAATGGGGTGAGGAGGAAGATGCCCAAGCTTGTTGATGGCACCAACAATTAGGATGGTTAAACCAAAAATGGCAGCAAAGTGCTCCAAAAGGATCTTTCTGCACTGATGGGTGTTAAATGTCAAATGCAGTTTGACATAAAAGAAGTGTAGAGTGCTGCACATTGGGCCCAAAAATCCCAATTTGGTACAACCAAATTTGGTACCTGACCAAATCAGATATCAATGTGAAGCCCATAGCAGGACATAAATGCAACATCTTCCTCCCACCCATATTCCCCAGCAACTGGTATTCAGAAGCATACCATCCCTGACACTGGAGGTAATGTATGACCATTGAAAATGGGGGCCAATAGCCTTAACTTTCATAAATTTGTGTCAAACTGTTCAAGCTGGTGGCCATCAGAGCATCATGTGGTACTGCATTCTGTAGTTTAATTATGTGCTTTATGTCCTCTTTGGTTCTGAATATCCTGTGATTCAGATTCATTGGATGATGTTATAGTGTTATGAGAAAGGGAGTAATGACTAGCTTTCAACTTTCTCTGCATGGTGCATAGTTTTACGCATTCATGTCTCATCTTGCTCACTTTTTTCTATTGCCAGGGGACACAAACGGGATTGCAATTGTGTTCATCTCCTGCCTGTGGGCTTCCCATGCACATTTGGTTGACCATTGTGGGAGCAGAGTGCTGTTCTAGATAGGACTTTGGGTTTATCCAGTACAGCTCTTGTCACCTTGTGGTTCTCTGGTGCATCATATTAGAGACAGATGCCAGAGGCAAGTACTTTTGGTGGCTGCACCATGTTGCTATGGATGCTACAGAGAGTCAGAGCATTTCCTGCAGAAGCCTATTCCGTGTGTGCCTGGCCACCCAGTCCTGGAAGCAGAAGATTCTGTCATTCGGTGACACTTGGGCCTGCCATATGCATAAAATATGCATATGCCACTCTTAAGTATGTTTGCATATAATGCATATAATTTAAATAAAAATACCATATTTTTCCATCTATAAGATGCCCCCATGTATAGGTCGCCCCCCCACTTTTCCTATCCATCTCCAGCGAACAAGCTGCTGCCACACGTGCCGCTTCGCTGCCCCCCGCCCCCCCCCCCAGCCCCCCCCCCCCCCCCCCGCTTCGCCCCCCCCCCCCCGTGCCCACTTGCCCCCCCCCCCGGTGCATGCCAGTCTCCCCCCTGCGGCGTGCCCACGGCCCCTGTGTATAAGACACACTTTCATTTTTAAGTAAATGTTTTAAGAAAAACAAGTGTCTTATACATGGAAAAAAATGGTACAATAGTTCTCACCATGGTGAGCAAGTCTCTGCCAGGTGAGCAGCATACCTGCAAGGTCTGCTGGCCGGCTACTGATTGCTGAGGGGCAACTGTAAGGGCCTTGGGAATCACCTTCATTCTTTATCTTACATTGGACCTGGATTGATTGCTGACAGCTAGAGAACTGCCTTCTGTAAAAACGGACACACTATAGTGCTCTCCCTAAATGAATGCCTGACTTTGTTGCACAGGACCAAAGAGCAGGCATTCACCTTTGTGGACAAAAGTAAAGGGATGCACTTGGGGACACTATCAAGACAGGGCTTGCATCTGTTCTCCTAGCCTTGCAGCCTCATCCTGGGTTTTGTTTCTTTGTGAGACTAGCAGGTTTCAAACATGCTTGGGATCAGGTGTGGGGAGAAGGGCTGGCCCCAGTCATGTTACTGCCCCAGCTGAAAAACACAATACTCTCCTTCCACTTCTGTGTATAAAAGCCAGCTGGACTGGTCCTTGAATATTTCTTCGACATTCATTAAGCAACAGCATTCTTCATTGTGGCTGAAGGAAACAGGGACAGGGCAGGCAGCAGGGTCCACAACTCTTCCCTGTGGTATCCTGCTCTCATCCTCTGGCATCTGTTGTCTGGAGTGACTGCCTCACTCTGCCAGGTGTGAGGACTGACTTTGGGTTTCTGAATCGGTGCTCAGAAACTCAGTGCTCCCCAGTTTGGGCTGCAAGGCCAGACCTATGAGGTGAAAAGAGAGGCTAAACTGTTGGTCTCATCTGAATAAATTTATGCGGCCTTATTTCTCTGTAGGCATGTGAGGTGTCCATATCTGGTGAGATGACTGAAACCAATCAGAAGCTATGTTAGAAGAGAAGAAAAACTTTCACAACAGTGAGAACTTGTAGTCTGATATGCAGGGAGAATTAAGCCATCCCATGCAGCATGATCTCTCAAAAGTACACGTCCCAGAGTTTCTTAGTTCCCGTTGGCACATACAAGTAGGATGAGCCGAGGGGGTATGCCTTTCCACTGGCAGTGGGAAGGAGAGGCAAGCTCCACAAGGATTGGAGCCCCTGAGATTCCAGGAACAGTGGAAGCAAGCACTGCTTTTAGGCTATACCTGTTGTAGCACAGAATATTTGTGAGTAAACAAGTGAGTTCTCTGGTCTGCAAAGTGCATAAAACTGATTTCCCCAAATGGCTTTCTTGTTTCCCCAAACATGTTTTAGACAACAATTCTCATCAGCCTCAGTCCCTGAGGGCAAAGATAAAGGATTATGGAAAGAGTGGTCCAAAACATCTGGGGGCACCATGTTGGGGAAAGCAGGTATAGAAGAGCTGTCTCTAGATGTCAAGGAAGTGGAGAGAATGTCAGAGGTCATTGGCCACTTGTGTATAATGAATATATATATTGTCATGCCTGCATGCAAGGGACAACAAAGGAACCTAAAGAAGGTAAAGTTTCAAATTAGACAAGGCTTTTTGTGAGATGGGAGCACATAACCAGTTTGTACCAGGCCCGCAGAAGTGATGCAGGACATTCCATGTTGATTTGGGCGTACGAGTTGACTGCAGTGTATCCTTTGGTCCTCAACCAGGAGCAAAGTCCTTGTGCAACCTTGACTTGCATTTTGAGCATCACTGATTTTGGAATTTAAACACACACTGAAACTAAATGGATCTTAATTTAAACCAAGGAGTTTTGTATAGTAAATAACTGATAAATGGAATGTCAAGGGAGCCATGACAATGAGAGATAAAAGAACTCATCGAGTTTAAAGAATCATATCGATGTCTCTGTTGGTGCATGTGTGTGTATCCTATTCCTCTCTTACTGGTTCTCTCTCTCTCTCTCGCTTTCTCTCTCTGATTGCTGGGATTCCTTAGTGACCAGGGAAATGCACTTTGTGCATGCTTACAGACACTTTCACTCTACTTCACATATTCTTGGCATCCAAATTGATCCTTCAGCAATGGCAATTTAGATTAGTCACTGGCTCATATCAGGCATCTTCTGGGCATGAGACTGCACTGATTATGCTTACCTCTGCTGTGTAACTGAAAAATCAGAAAGTGAGACCCCCTGTGAAAAGGGTTGTAATCTGCACATTATCTTTGGCTGTCACTGAAGTCAATGGGAGCTGCAGCTGCGGCATAGATCTCACCATGCTTGACTGATGAATCCGATTATGACGATGT